AAAGAGAAAAGATACAAGAGAGAAAACAGCTGAAGAAAACAGATGAGAAAGAGAGAGTGAGGCAGAGAAATCACGAACGACAGTGAAAATGTTCAAAGCCCGCTGTATTGTGATATCGCCTCAAAAATGCATCTGTGCTCTAAAAATGTCATCTATAAAACGCACACTCGCACTCCAATCCTTTATTGGACAGTCATCTCTCTAATGTTCTCAATAAAATTCAATTGACGCTCTGCAGATGCTTGTCAACTGGCTCTCTTTTTCTCTCTCGCTCTGATTTGTCTCTATTAATACCGTCGATCTATCCTATTTCTTTTTATTTCTCTACTTTTCGTTCGTTACTGTTTTCTTCTTATTCTCGGTTTTGTTCAGTCAAAATCTCCGAATTTGCTATTTTCCTTCCAACGGCTTTTGCCTTTGCTTCGATCGCCAATGAAGTGGCCGAATGTGCATTCGCACTCACACAACCGCAATGTGAGATTCATTTTCATATCTACATCTATATATGGTGAGAATATGTATATAAAATGCACTGCACTCTATGTGTGTGAATGCGAACAAAATTGTAATTGACTTGCGCGCGTAATATGTGACGTCACACACAATTCGAACGAATACAGTGAAGTTTTTCATTTTTGGAAGTGGAATCAGTGTTGCAGCGCTGTTGTCAGTGTTGTTGTTGTTTTTTTCATTCGTTCATGTTAAATTTTCTTTGCTTGATTTTCCGTAAATTTCTTTCCCCTTTCCATTGGCCGCAGAAATATTTCGATCGGAAAAATACCATCGAACAATAAAGCAAAAAAAAAAGGAGCACACAGCGATGATTCGAAGCGATTTAGTTTATTTGTATACAAACACACAAAAAATAGAGAAGAGAGCAGCTTGCATTCAAAGCGGTTAAAATATTGCGGATGATTTAATGACAATTATTGAACATGCGCTCTCACAATACGTACATCCATACAATGTTGGATGTTGTTGTTGTAAATTGTTTGGCGGTTTTGCCGTTGTTGTTGTTGGGCTACTTCGGTTTAACGATTTTTAAGTAAAATGTTGATGATATATCGAATATATATAGCTGTCATAAGCAACAATTGCACTCAATGAAGCGCTTGGTGTCAGTAATGCAGCTCTTTGATATCTGCTCTTTTTCTTTCGTCTCTCCACTTGTTCGGTGCGGCTAGAAGGGATTTATATATATCGAATAAGCGTCAAAGTGCATTTCAAAGCGAATCACACACAAGACAAAAGGTGATGATGATGATGATGCTATGCATAGCACATACGTGTATATATGTTTTTTTTTTTTGTAAAATGAATTTGTTCATTTGAAAAACTTTGGCATTTTTGGCATAGCCTTTGGACTTCTCCGGAATATAAATCTCTTAATTATCGTTCGTTTGATTATTTTATTTTTCATTACATGAAATATTTATGAAAAAAAAGAAGGAATTTATTTATAGTTCACAAGAGAAATGAATGGGAGAGAAAGAGCGACGATACAGAGAAAGACTAACGGCTCGGCCGGTTGAGACTACAGACGGTTTTGCAAATCGGTTATAAACATAAATAAAATTGAATGTAATAAAAATGATCAAGTATACAGTTGTATGTATAAATACAACAGTGAAAAACCATCGATTGGTTTTTGTTTTTGCGGCTCTGAGATAAAAATGGAACAATTCAATACGAATCGGTGCGCGCTGAACACGCATCTAAAATACCAAAGCAACCATAAATTATATTTGAGCTCTATTCTCTCGTTTTTTCTTCTCTCTCTCTCTCTCTCTCTCTCTCTCTCTCTCTCTCTCTTTTGCTATTCGGCTCGGTATTCTGTTTGGGTTTGTTGTTGGTGTTCACTTTTGCCTTCAAACGTTCATGGATATCATGTGAAGTTTGTGTGTTGTTGATTTTTTTTCTAGTTAATAGTTGGCGGACGCTATAACTTACAGACTTGCGTCTACAAACGTGTAGATGCGTGCTTTGCGTGTTTTTTTTTCTTTATTTTGGTCGTTGTAGTTTGTCACATGACTTTAAACTCCATGCGTATACGCTGAATTGATCGTGATATTTCGATGACGAAAGATTTCCAATTCGTATGTTTGTCTGTTATTAGCACTACATGGAATGTAGGCTACTGTAGTTGTAATTTTTTTTCCCAAGAAAATTTTAAGGATCTTTAGGCCATTTTTTTGGATCGTAAATTGATTCATTTTAATATTCATATTTTTTTTATTTGAAATGAAGCAATTGCGCCTAATTGCAAAAATGAAATAAAATCATGTTCTTGTAATTCACTTTTGAGATAACTCGAAAAAAAAATTTACACTTTTTTCGTTACCAATGTGAAATAATGTACGATGATCATTCACATTGAATGTACATAAAACACATAAGTGTAGAATACAGTATCATCATATAAATTTATTTAATTTTTTTTTGACAATATTAAAATGATATGCATACAAAAAGTAGATTAAAACTACATTCCATGTAGTGCTTACGATAATAATTTGATGAGTAACATCAATTAATTAAACCCCTTAAATTTACAAGCTTCAAGAACGCAGAGCGGAGCGAAGCGACGATCTGCGGTCTTGTTTATTTTTCTGCTGTTGCTGCTGCTACGGCTAGTCTCGTATCGTGAACGGTATGCATATCGGCGCTTGTCGTGACGCATGCATGTGAAGCCCATTCGTTTATGTGTGAATTTATTTGGGCATTAAAAGTGTCATGTGCCTCTTCAATTCGCTCAATCTGCATTATTAAAATTCGTTTTTTCTTCGGTCACGGGATACATCTCTGCTACACTATGCAATTTTCTTCTCGTTCAATTGTTTTTCTTCTTTATTTGTCTGCCCACACAATTTTCAGCACGTTTTCCCGATTTCCACGACCATTTGCCGTCCCTAAACGATCAGCCGTTGTTATGATCTTTTATTTTCGCTTAATTTTATCATTCTATCTCATTTGCCTCAACGAACGTGTATCGTACAGCAGAGCAGAAAAATGCAAATGTTAACGTTTTTAAATCGAGATATATATTTCGATTAGAGTCGATTTCGTTGTAATTTGCATGAGAATGAGTTGAAAGAAGGAGAAAAAGTTGCAATGCGGTCGCAGTAGCTATATAATTTGCTGAGCCGATTTTGCTCGTTGGATTATACAATGCAGAAAGCGAGAATAAAAAATGTCGGCTCGGTCGTTACGCTCAGCGGTGCATTTGTATGGATGCAATTAAATTTTGGTGGGTGCATTATGATTGCAGGTGTAGTTGAATGTTGTAGTGTAATCGTCTCTTTCGCTCTCGTTCTCGTCTTTCCCACAGTTACAATTATGACTCGAGTGAGATATTCAATATAATCACACACAAATACATTTTCGTGTTGATATATGAGAATATTACAATGTTTTTCATGTCGGTTTCGTTGCTTTTATCTCTTTCCCTCTCTCTCACTCTCTTTCTCTCTCTCTCTCTCTGGATTTGGGTGTATGTGATATTCATTTCGTCGGTCTTATCCACCTAACTGTATTTGAATCGGTTGATGAGTATTTGTGAGCGATGCTGCGACTACATAACGCACTGGAATATAATACACACTACGAACATACACCATTGAATGAGCCAAAAAAAATTTGGCTAGCAAACATTAGAGTTTCGTTACTTGCGTTGACATATCCCATCAATAACCCAAGACATGAAGATTGTTCAGTGGCCAACTTGAAAAGTCCCTCACCCATGCAGTACGCAACAGCAATAGCAAAAAAATCCATGCTTTTTTTCAACTCTTCATGTTGGCCCAATTCCATTTTTTGGTTTCACCTCTCTCTCTATCTCTCTCTTTCTCGTTCTCTCTGTTCATTGTTCATTCTATTTATTTATTTCATTATAATTTTCAACGATATGCTCGGTGTATTTTTCCTTCTGTCGGTTATTATCGTTTTTCGGTTTTGTGGAAAGTATTCTAAGCTCTTTTTTGGCAATGTTCAGCGTTCACATGACACGATAATAAACGTGAACAATATATATCATGATTGCTCTTGTAATTGAATGATTGTACAGGGGGATAAGAGTGTTTAAACGACAATAAACCTAGCAGACACTCATCATACAGCCGTTCCTTTTTCTATTTGTGAACTTAGATCGTGTTGCTAAACATGTGCGTAAACGAATTATTTACAGATTTGGTCACATTGTTGTTACTACACAGTAGCGCGCACGGCATTGGTTGTATGTCGAGTGGAATTTTTCATGAAGCTAGTGCTGCTGCTGCGTTTGCTGCTGCTTTCGCCAAAAGCATAACATCAAATAAATGAGTTTCACGAGAAACTTAACGAGAAACCTAAATCGTTTGAACATAATTATGATTGTTTTGCTTGAGCACGCGGACGGAAGTTGTCCTCCGACGCGAAAATGCCAACCTTCTCTGTATAGAATTCAATGATGATAATTCACAACATGACTCGATCTCTCTCGCGTGTCATTTTAAAAGTGCTCAGAACTCACAGATTGCCAAGTGGCTGGGCAAGCATAGCAATCAACAATTACATCAAGACTCGAAGAGCAAAAAAAAAAAACTGACCGAAGCCAAGTGTTTAAAGAGAAATGCGTTTTTACGGTCTCTCAAATTTGTTTATCGTCTTTGAAGCTCTCTTAGAACTGTCCAACGTTCATATTTCATATTTTCAGCGCTCTTTTGTTATTACTGCTCATTTTTTGTTGTGATTTTGTTTTTGTTTTTTTTATTGTCGCCGTTTTACATTTATTTTTCTCTTATTTCGTTCGATTTTTTTTTATCAAATATGAACTACTCATAAGCAGTTATGGCATATTCGTTTGCCAGAAAGTGTCGAGCAAGTGTGAGATATTTAGTCTACGTAATGAAGAAAAAAGAACTGATAAATGGCATACACTCAGCAAAAGGCGAGTATTGTTTGTGCTCGAAATCGTCAATTCCTTTTGTTCCGCAAGGAAAAAATGAATTTTGGTGTCTCTTACATTTTTCAAGTTTGTTTAGTCACTTGATCCACTTTTGACACACGGCTTTTTTTTATGTTAATTTATGACTTCAGTCTACATTCGATGCGTACATCGGTCGTAGCCACGTTTTCATCATCATTTTGTCAGCGTATTTATCTTATCAGCCAATTGTACCACCTTAAGTCGTATCGCATTAAAATACAACTTTCTGTACGCGAATGAAAAGGGGCCCAAATGTGCGTCTTAATTGTCAAGAAAGCAGGAAAAACAAAATTCAACAAATATCAAGTGCGTTTGCATTGTTACGATCTACTCGCTCGTGCGCAAGAGAGTGTTCTTGTTTAGCACATGGTCGATAGCTGCGTCCAACTGTGGCGCACGAAACTAATAATTTTGGATTTAATTGCTCAATCGTTTTGGTTGATTGAAACTTGTTCATAAATCCAAATACGAATGACCCAATGACACGGAAGGACGGAATGAAAATGAGCAAATTAACAGTCTGGATTGTCTCCAGATGTATCCGAAGTAAACACAATGCACAATTATTGTAGCGAACGTTAGAGCGCCATGCCATATGTTCAACAATAGACATTACTACTTTTTCGCAAAGAAAGATTGTTAGGAAAAGTATTGGTTTTATCCGCAAATAATGACGATCCCGCTGATAAAACGCGTAAAATTCCGGAATATTATATGTTTGTATTGAAAAAACTCATAGAGCCATATCAAGGCCATTTGTTTTAAAGAAATAATTTTTTGTAAATTTTTTGGGCATTTCAAGGCACAGTACGAAATCTCTTCTGATGCAGAGATTTGTAATTTCTCTCGGTGAGTCATATGCAATTTTAATGTTAATTTCCTTTCTGCTTTCATCTGATCAACACGATGTCGATAACATGTTAAAGAATGCGGCTATTCTTGGCTATATTATCGACTCGCGATATTCTACATAATTTCGTTCTTCTTGGGACAATCTACCAATTTTGTGGTTATTTTGAATAAAAAATAACTGTTCTTAAAAAAAGATATTATGAACAGAGGAGCAGTAGAAGAATATTTTCGGAAATATTATGAAAGCGATTCTTTACATATGAAAATTGTGTTAGAACACTACACTTGTACAACGTGTTGCGGAAAAGTGTCCATCGTGTATGTAATTCGTTGTATCTAAAGATTGGCAAAAATAGTCGATTTCTTGCAAAAGCGACCAGTAATTTCCGCATAAATCTTGATATCATATACTTGACCACAGTCACAGCCACTCAGTCTATCTGCACATGATGAAGGCATGAGACACTAGAAAAAGAATAATAGAAAATTGACAACGGATGCTCTCAATTGAGAATGATATTTGAGAATAAGTAATACATTTTGCTGCATACTCTTGATGCCTAGGCATATTTGCTGTAAGGCCGGTGCGCCGCCAACAGATACACTGATACTGATACTGATACATAATTAGTCGCGATTCGTCTCGGTAATGAAGCGGATACAATCCATCGCAATGATAACATTTAATGTGAAATATGAATTAATTAAATCTTTTTGTCTTCAAATGAATTGAAGCAAATAAATGGAAAAAAAACGAAACGTGTGGCTCAGGTAGTCTTGTATCTCTTCCGGCATAAGCAAACACAGCTCGTAAAAGTCAACGCAGAATCAATTTGGAGAGAGAGAGAGAGGAAGATAATACAAACGCATACGAAACGAATACACCATTCGAAAATGACAAACGAATTCATTAACAGCGCAAGAGATGGAAAATAATCTAGGTGTCATTAAATTATCACTCACACGCGTACTACATTTGATACGATGGTGCTGTCTGACTCTGGCCGCCACCGCATCTCAGCTCGCCGAGAATGTGTGCTTGTGTCAACGAAATCAATTTATTTCGAAAAGCCAAAAGCATTTAATTTAAACAAATTAGAGCAAATTACAGAAATAAATAAGCTTTAATCATTTCTGATTTCACACATCATAACCAACGAACCGATCAAAACATTTCACGCAGCTGAATGCTCGCGGCCACAACGAAAAAAAAGTCCCTGGACAAACCCGACACAATACCAAACTATTCGAATAATTTAGCGGAATATTATTATCATTTGTTGTTTTCTTTCTGCGACGCAAATTTTTTGGCAGCAATGATGCCAATGGTGGTCATGAAATACCATAAATTATCGACGTGAAAATGGAAAAATGATCTTAGCCATCTTAGCTATTTTATTTATCACATCAAACCGTATGCTATGCGATTGAAAAACAAAACATTAAACACCAGAAGATACATCACATAAATCAGATATTTTTAGTTGAACATGGCATTTTTTGCTGTTGTTGTTCGTGAGTGTGTGTATATGCGACATTTTGGTTGAAAAACACTAATAAATTAATTAGAGGGATTAGAACGATGCTCTGGCAGATTAAAATCCACTTTTTGATGCCACCATTTGCTCTCTGTCCGGCGCTTTGCATCCTTGCCTGGTTCATTTTCCACTCTGATTTTTATAACCGTTTGATGATACGCTTCACATAACTTTCGGACGCATTTTCCGTGATTTTTAGCTTGTCACAGAGCGAAGGAGACAGCCAGAGAGAGTGAGAGAGAAAGAGAGAGTGAGAGCAGGCTCGACACAAAAGAGAGAAAGAGTGAGTTCAGGCTAGAATTTTCCCAACCACTCTGAATTGAACACATATGATTTGAATAAGATAAATGACAGCCGTATTGTGTGCCGCTCAGAAAAATCGCTTTCGCTTTCTTTTTATTGTACCGACGAATTTTCATCCAATAAAACATAATAAATGTCATTCGAAGGTTGCCGTAGGTGTCGGCTGCTACGCTCGATATGAAATATTCAAGTGGTTTCGTTTTTTGATATGTTCATCATTGAATTTACGACTCACTCAGTGGAAAATACTTTCGAAAGATGCGATCGAATATTGGATCTGTCTAGGGATGTGTACAGATACGGAAGTCGTGAGTGACACGCTGAATCGAGTCGAAGTTGAGTGGTTTATGTTTAACATTTTTTATAATCATAGTAAATAGATGTGTATAGTTTTTTTTCCTTCTAATTCTCTGTCCTTCCCTTTTTCACTATTCACTCAAGCGGCACATATTTTCCGTAATACGAGAAGACACTCGAGCATTCTCGAGAGTTAAAAAGAAAACAGTCAGCTGTAACAAACCGAAATATAGAAGCAACAGCAAAAACAAAACATAAACAAATCCAAGCGCGACACATTTCGTCATTGTCAGTTATCTTTATGTTTAACTCTGTGCAAAAACAGAAAAAAGGCGAAACAGACGACGACGGAGGTGACAACAGCAAAGGAGAAGAAACGGCACACCGATTTGAGGCAATTGAATTTTGTGAGAGGAAGTGTTTCGTTGCTAAATGCCCTTGTGCAATAATACTTTCGATGATATGTTTCTGAATGTATGCGCGATTTCGCAGCCCTTCACTTCGTTTTTGATAATGAGTGGTGTTGACGCCGCTGCTGTTGATGTCATGCATATTTAGCTGACACACATTTTGTGAAATGATGAGATAGTAGTACACAGTCGAACCGCGTGTATGTGATACGCAAAGCGTTTTCTATCTAATCGCATGACCACAGCACAAAATCAAGCACTGATACAATGCTTTTATCAATTCGCAACACTCAAATGACATTTCACTCGGTGACTCTTTGTTGTTGTTGTCTATTTCTTTCGCCATACCAAACAGTTCTATTCTCAACCTTGATCATTTGACATCATGGGTCTTGTTTGCTTTTCGCCTTTTTTACGATTTGGTTTTGTTGTTGCTGCTTTTTTACTCTTTCTTTTTTCATATTCGCGGCTAGTTGTGTGTCAATTTTTGTTTCCTCAACGAGATAGGATTTTTATTGGAAACGTAAACAAAGTCACGCCGAATGCGAAAAACTGGAGAATTGAGAAATTCGATGGATGGTGCAGCAGTGGCGTGCGAGAGTTGTTCCACATTCGTTTCGTTTTTCATTTTTTTTCTATGTTGATGGAATTCACACGCATGAAATGAGATTGATTAGCCCAACAATTATCACACTTCATTGTCACGAGCAAGATCATTTCGCATGTGAATGGAAGAAAGAGATCAACGAAGAAAAAAAAATTCATATATGAATTCAGCCGAAAAAAACTGGCCGCATGCTGAAAATGTGTAGTACCGGTTGGATGATCGTTGAACAGGTTATGTTGTGATCTTGTTTTGCATGTTTGCGTGCTGCTACAGTTAAGTTGAGAAGTGCGCGGCACGAGCCTTTTGATCAATTAACTTTATCAATTTTGGCGTTTTAAATGTTTGGCTTGCTCGCATTTAAAAAATTTCCATTTGCCTCGATGGGGCCCGAAGCACTTCCATTGCTACCAATGTAAATTGTAAATGACGATCTAAGGACGATTAAACATTCACAATTTACTCGGTGTGCGTGTGTGTATATAATTTAAATTTGGTATCGTCAATTCGTAAGCAACAGGCTTATATCGTGTACACAGATCAGCCGACCAGCCACCGACTAATAAATTGTCTGACAAATAGTGTGAAATTTTTCATCAAAATATTTTCATTCTGATTCACTTGATTTAGTTTGCAATGCAGTCAAAATATGATGTCTGACTGCATTTTCATGAGCGTCATATTCTCATCGTTTCGATCGAACGAAACGAACAAGAAAAAACAATCCAACAAATTAGATTCTTATAATATCTTGTATGCCGTATACATTCCTTGTCCTCTTCTTCTTCTTCTTCTTCATTCCTCTGAAATAATAACATCATGTGAGTGTAAAATTTATGAGGAAAACATTCACAATGAATGTGCCAAATTAGATAAATCAGCTGCGGCTGGTCGAATTGGTTTGTTGTTGTGAATATTCGAACAGCACATCCCATTTTCATATTCGGTTTTACTTTTTTTTGTTCTCTTCGTTCGACGTCAATTCTTCGCTCTCAGTTATTCGTCACAACGCATTCGAATGCGAATTTTTCAGTTAATTAAATTAGAAAATGATGTTAAAATGAATGTATTTGTCTTAATTAAGTGATTTTAAGGAATGAACGCAAGTGAAAAAAAAAGAACGCGCACACACTTACACACAATCAAACATTGATCGTGTTGGCGAAAAACGAATATTTCAAGTGTGTTCTATAATTTTTCATAGCCACTTCTCGTGTGTGATTGCTCGTGATTTCTCTTCTTTCTTTGGTTTCGAGCCACTGAATTTTTTTTTTTAATTTTCATTTTGTTTTTGTTTGTTGTTTGCTCTCGCCAAAATGACGTCACACAAAACGAGGATGCTTTTGTTAGATTTATTATTTTTTCGCTATTTTTTGTTGTGTGTGCATGTGAGTGTGAAAAAGTGGTTTTTCGTGTTTTTAAACCGCTTGGCTCTGACATTCAAATGAAAATTGGTTGGAGCCATTACATGTCAACCAATACATGTGTGCTTGCCTCAAATGTTAATGCTGAAGCAGTCAGTAAAGAGTGTAAAGCATAAATAAATGACCATGACGCGGTTAGGTGGGGGAAGGGGAGAAGTGTATATATACCATATGCTTTTATGTTCAAAGTTTCAATTGAACTTTATGCATTAAGCGCCTATATTTAGGCGTGTTTTTTTCTCTCTCTATATATTCGATTTTTATGGATCCCCTAAATTGCGATGAACGAAAAAAGACACTATTTCGCACAAATCGCATTTGTGATGTTATTTTTTTATTCAATGAATATTGTCTGCGGGATTACAATTTTGGTTATAATTCCAAATATTATCATTTTCAATGTGCCAAAGCAATAAACAAAATGGAAAACTACTGAAGATTTATATGCTGCATTTGAATAATACTTAAAAAGCAGCACATGCAAACCAAAACGGATAATAAGTAAATGTGTTCATGGAAATTTCTTATTGCCCATTCACAAAGAGTGAGAGAGAGAGAGAGAGGACAGAGAAGCACGAGTTGATCTAGTAAATTGCGACGTGAAGTGAAGTGAAGAGAAACGACACGAGCGTATAGCAACTGTATAGATTTTGTTTGTGGTGATTCGTCAGTTTCGTTTGTAGTACGCATGCTTCGTAAAATTGTCCGTCTCTTTCTTTAGCCATGTTTAAACCGTATCCAGATCATCTAATACTCACACGAGAAGCGTGTGTGCCTCAATGGAAAAAATGCAGCACGTGGCCGTAAAACGTGATAGATTCAGAAGGAACAGAAATTTGTTGCAATTGTTAATCAAATGTGTTTGGATTGTACTTTGGTCGTTATGTGCGGGGCAAAATATTGGAACCGGGTTCTGGATACGTTTTATGCGGTTCAAATACACATTTTGATCTGCGCTCACACACTACATATTATCAATATTGATTTTTGTCAACTAAATCCGATGCTGGATTGTGTCGTTGCTGTTTTTTTAAAAGTGGTTTCGATGCAAAAGAATCGTGGCTCGTGTCCAGTATGTGTGTCTTCTTTTAATTTCAGTCATAGTATGTCTGTGGGTATAAAAATCATCTGCTCTTATTTAACGTCAGAAGATTCGAAATTCAATCGATTCAACAAGAAGACCACATCTCGCGAAAGAGATGTCCAGAACTGGCTCTTGTGTTAAAATAAAACCTTGCAAACGGCGTTCATGATAAGAAACGCTGTAGAAGTGCGTCACTATGATTTGTGATGCATTGAATAAAACTGAATGTGTTATGGTCCAGAACATGTGATTAGTTGAAATCGGTGATGGAACTGGTGACTTTAATTAAACATTGTTCGTCAGTGGGATAATTATAGTGAATATTTACTGATAAGAATGGTAAAAAAAAGGGTCAACTCACATGAAAACTGTAACACGAGTCCGAGTTAATTGGCAATTTTACGAAAATAAACTAGAACTTTTTGTATGGCTTTTCACCACCTTCAGATGTTATCCCATCATCGTGATGATTTTATTCAAATCAAAAGCAATGAGCATCTCACAAAAGACCATAGAAATAATCACGTTCATCAGTTTCATGCGACTGAAGACAATGAAAACGTTTTATTTCCTGAACTAAAATAATATCCACTTTCATCGGTGAATGGTAACTGGCACGCATATTTTCGAGATGCTTTTGCTTTGCTGTGCCATGTCACCATTTGCTTTGATTGAAATTCGATTGTTTTTGTGTTTTCATCGTGTTTTGTTGTTCACTGTTTCAACTGGTTCCAGTTCTAACTTTGATCCGATCACGAAGCTGAACACCGTATCTATCAATATCCCGTTCTTGTTCTTGCAATGCGACATTTCTCCCTTTTTCGTTTTCTCTCTCTCTCTCTCTCTCTCGATCCACATCGAGGTGGATATAATTATAAATAAATAATGGTGCAACACATGAATTTCCACGTGAGGCCCAACACAATTAAATCTATATTCAGCTTCGTTTGTTATGCGTGAAATAGCGGAAAAGTCAATTGGAGCTTCCACAACAATATCACAAGCGCAATCCTCGTGACTTAAACTCCACCCCCCAATGCGAATGTATTAATGGCATATATTTGTACCGATGTCAACAACGTTTCGTATCGAGCTTTATGAAGCCAAGGTAGAAGTAGAAAAAGATGGAAAAAAAATTGAATTATGTGAATGTGCTTGCTTTCTTCGCTGCCACACATATTGTTTTATGAAAACGTACTGAGAACACGGGAGCGTGCTTCGAACAACGACAACGACAAAGTCAACAACAACAATAAAACCGAATGAGAGCAACGATTCGCACAAGCGAAAGAAAAGTACAACAAATCCGAAATGGAAAAGAAAAAAAAGTCGGCTCAAGCCCAACGACACCGACATTAGATTAGATCCAATAAGCAACAGTTTATCATCCACATTTTAACGTGCCATAACACGGAGCGTGCATTTCTGTCAGCACTTTACCGTTTAAAATCGCCCAAGACAGACGTTGTTTGTTGCAAACGTACACTTCTTGATTGAGCTTCTATGCAAATATATCAATCGCGCCAACGATTTCATTTTCGGCAAACGATTCTATCCAACCGTCAAAAGAATGTATAGAACAGAATAGTTGCAAATTAGTTTTCATAATTTGAATATTTTAATATTTTAAAAAAAAGGAAGAAAAAAAGCAGTTTCCGGTCGATTTCATAATAATTTGTGATCGTTCGCTACATTTTTTGTGTGTGTATGTGTGGTAATTTCGGTAGTGTTCCAACCGATCTTTGGCCACACAGTACGAAGTATTTTTTTTCGATTAAAATAAAATTGATCTTTATGTCACTATAATAAACGAGTGCGTGTTTGATCGGTCAGAAAAAAAGCGTCGTGAATATCACAAAGTCAAAACAACAACGTGAGAAATTCAATATTTTTTTTTCGAATTCGGAAAAAGTGTTTATCAAAAGAAAGTTTAAAAAATGCCAAAAAGTGCGCTTACAGTTTTTAAATCGATGCTTTTGAACAAAACCATTTACACGATAACATTTTCAAAGCGTTCGCCTACAAACGCTACGCTAAGCAGTTTAGTTATTGTGAATCGATAAATGAATCACATATTCAATCGCCAGCTGAAAAATCGTTTTTAATTGCCGAAACATTGGGGAATCGCAAATTCGCAACGGAAATTGTTCGAATCGCTTTCAGAACGAGTAGAAGAAGAAGAACAGTCGAAGAGGAGGTAGAAAGAGAGCAACAGAGAAAAAAACACAACTGAAAACAAAAACACTTGATTTTTCTTTGAAATAAAAAAAAAACCGAAAAGAAAATCCGTTTGTGTCAAATAACACACGATATTAAACGAAAACTACAGCAATTCAGTTTTTGTTGGACCAAATGCGAAAAATGATGTTAGACGGGAAAATTAGTGATTATTCCATGTATAATAACAATGGGAGTAATTGGAATTCAGCGGCAAGCTGCCAATATCCCACGAACAGCAGCAGCAGCAGCAGCAGTAATGGTTTCAACGATTCAAATAATTGTCAAAAAAATCAATCGGCCACCAACGATTGCAATGTAAATCATTATTGTCAGAATCCAAAATTTAATCATTTGGCAAACCATTGGAACGGAAGTGTGGCCGCAATGCATCATCAGCAAGCACAACCCGAATCCGCCAATTACTTTCGAAATCAATGGCATTTCAGCAACAATGCAGCTACAAATTCCTATCATGTGAATGATACAACCATCCCAAATATTCCAGCAACACAATTATCACAAAACCAACATTGTCTACTCATTCCACACACCCATTTCCATCACCCGTCATCAGCGGGTAAGTTAACTTGTGTTCCTTCGATTTAGGCAAGCTTGTTTCGTCACAGACAGAAAAAAAAATCAAGACAAAACGCAGAAATTATCTCGATTGGATCGCAAGACTACACAACCTGGACTTAATTTTAATTTTCATTGCTAAACACATTTATGTTGGGAATTCCTTTGGGCGCGCAAAGCCATTTTAATCAATTGTGCGGGTAAGATCTACGAAAATGTGCGCTAAACTGTTTCGACTTAATTATGGGTAACACAGATTTAAGGATAAGTTGTTAAAAAAATTCCATTTTTTTAACATATTTTTTCCCCCAAAAAAATAATTTAGAAAAAGAACACCGTTCATTTGTAAAAACAAAATCATAAGCAAAAAAAAAAACGAATTCTTTACAGAATGTTTGAATGTTTCAAAATTGTCATAAAATTTTTACAGCTTACTTTTTATCACACATAACCAAATGAACCTGTTGAACTTGCACCGAAATTGATGAACAGTCAGAGTTTTATGTGTGTGTCGTTTGTCTGAATTGTTGTGTTAGAAAAAAACGGAGAGTGATCGTGTGTGTAACACATTTGTGAATTTGAAAAATTGTGATGATACAAATTCAAGCTGAAAATCCAAATAAAGTGAATGTGTCCACATATTAGAGTTTGATCACCGCTTCTGCGGCCGTAATTTGCTTTGATTCGGTATGGGCATTTTTACACTTTGCTAACGTTTATTTAAATCTCAATTCATGAATAAATGAATCATAAAAATCGACAATTTCGTTTTGAATAGAGAAAAACCGCGAGCATTCAATTTCAAGCTTTCTCGATTGTGTTTCAATTTGTTGTCAATTTTCGGGCGATTCGGTTCAAATCCAGTGACATAATTGGTTAAATGAACTTAACAATGCAACAAATTAAGATAAAACGTTAAGAACGAACGAACTAATACAATCAAAATTCAGATTATCCGAGGCATATGATTTCAACCGAAATATATTTTAAAATGAGTTGAAAAACAAAACAAAACCGCCGACAAAAAAACAATTTTTTTTATTTTTTTCAAGCATGAATATTCTTGACAACAAAGAGGAAGAAGAAAAAAAAAGAAATAAGCGCACGTATGGCAAAATTTCCAATCACATAGCCGCGGCTAACTCATCAGAAACGGCGGCTTGAATTTTGGATTTTTGGCCAGAAATATATGCAACGTTACATAATTTGGTATCTTTTTCCACGCTTTTACTTTCTTTTCATTTCCAGTTAATTTATTTCGCTTTATTGTTACTTTTACTTTATTTCTGTCTATTTTACGGCATACATATTTTTCACTCTCACTCTCTTGAGACGCTTTTGATTGCTTCTATGGTTCGTCTTAATGGACGATTTTATTTTTTCTTATTTCACGGAATAATTGTCGTTTTCAACTGTTGACTTAAAAACCGCTTCGAAAATCCGCCATTTTTGGCATTGTTCAAATTTCCAGAACTACCTCAATATGAATGTTCGTGTACATGTAACCTCTCAACACGACACATTGTCAACCAAACGAATTACTTATTACTTCTCCTTCATTAAGCTCTTCCCCAAAACCGAAAGAAAAACCAGCGCACACACACACTACATTTCGATCGTACACAGCGATAGTTTATCTGTTCGATAGCTGCTGCGTGCTGTTTTGTACGGGGCAGAAAGTTGATTTCCATTTTTATCGTTCATTCAAATGAGAGGAAAAGGCAATTTGAATGGTTTTAATCAAAATTTTAGATCCGGTCCATAAAAATAGCAAGAAAAAAATCGCACACACACACTACTCAATGTTAAGCTTTCGTTGAATGAAAAAAAAAACATACAACAACAACGAAACGTGTGCACATGTGTTTGTGTGTAGGCTTATTAATTTGACTCCCTACGGCACCTGTACATACTGTTTACTTTTTGCCATGCGACATGATCGTGCGCGCGACACACAACAATCCGTTCGATCGATAGAATTTGATGTTTTTACCTTGAAATCTGATTTGTATGGGTCGCGCAATGATAACACTCATTTTAAATGGGTCAGAATGCGCGCGCGACACACAACAAAAGCAGACAACGAAAATTCATTCTATGAACAATGCACCCGCTGCGTATTGTTAAGTTCATTTATGTTATTGCGCCTCATTTTAGGTGTGTTGTTGTCAACTGTCGTCGATTGGCAACGGAAGAAAAGCCATTCGAAACAAACAAACAAAAAACGGAACATTAAAGCTTTTGTCTAATTGGATTCATGGCGTTAATATTGGACAATTGCAGAGCAGAGATTAGTTGAAAAGTGCAGTTGGCTCTTATTTATCCGTAAGCACACACACACACACACACACACACAGAGAGAGAGAGAGAGAGAGAGAGAGAGAGAGAGAGAGAGAGAGAGA